GGGTCACACTGTAACCCTACAGTCCAGAGATCACTGGTCCAGACTGGTCTTGACAGTGCAGGTGTCAGAGGAGGAAGAGGAGGGTGTACACAGCCCTCCTTCCTCGCCCATAGGGGCAGCAGAAGCAGGTGACACAGTGAGCTGGCTGAGTGTAGGGGGTAAAGAATATTTTGGGTAGGGCAATGGCATGGCGATGCAGTGGTCTGTCTGTGTGGAGTCTACATGTTCTCCTTCCGTCTAGATGGGTTTCCTCCAGGAGCTCATACTGACCAGGACTGACTGGCCACCCTGAACTCTCCAGTATCCCGTCCAGGTCAGACTGTTTTCACACTTCAGAACAGTTACAGGAACAATCTAATTAAGCCAATCGTTAGTTTAATTAGGGGTTTGATTATGCAATTAAGACCTTGGTAGACTGGAAAGCAGAAGGTTCCTGGGACAGATTGCCCTACATTTGGCTTTGGGCGAACTGTGAGCAAATTGCCCTTTGTATTGTGTGTAACTGAGAGTGCAGTCTGCCCACGATGCCAGTCTGCTTCCTCAGACACTGCACTGCTGGTACCACGGAGAGCCCTAACCTCTCCCATCAAGTTAAGACAAAGTGTAATTGAAGCAGCAGCACCAGGAGTCCGTACTGTGCTGTGATTAATCCGAGGTGATTCTCTGGGTGACAGTGAATTAGAGCTGAGCGAGTTTAACCCCCTCTCCTCCACAGGGTCTCATTGTCTCGCACTGGCCACAGCGCCTCGGGCTGTCTGAGGCAGCAGTCACACCCCAAACACCAGACAGGACACCTGGAGAGGAGAGAGGAGAGAGAGGAGGGAGAGAGGAGAGGGGAGAGAGGAGAGGACAGAGGAGAGGGGAGAGAGAGGGGAGGACAGAGGAGAGGGGAGAGAGTTGAGCTGAGAGAGGAGTGGACAGAGGAGAGAGGAGAGAGAGGAGGAGAGAGAGGAGGGAGAGAGGAGAGGACACAGGAGAGGGGAGAGAGAGGAGTGGACAGAGGAGAGGAGGGAGAGAAGAACTGAGAGAGGAGAGTTGAGAGAGGAGAGGAGAGAGAGAAGCTGAGAGAGGGGGGAGAGGGTAGAGAGGAGAGAGAGGAGTGGACAGAGGAGAGGGGAGAGAGAGGGGAGAGCAGAAGAGAGGAGGTAGGAATAGTGAGAGGAGCTGAGAGAGGAGAAAGGAGCTGAAAGCAGAGGGAAAGAGGAGGAAGAGAGGAGTGGAGAGAGGAGGGAGAGAGGAGAGAGGAGTGAAGAGTGAGGACAGAGGATGGAGGAGTGAGGGAGAGAATGAGAAGGGAGAGGAGAGAGATGGGAGCAGGCGCATGGATGAGGAATAACAGGACCAGGCCGCGTTGCGATGCCGGTGCGCAGTGGCAGGTTGCTATGGCAACAGATGCATCCTGCCAGCAGCAGCAGCAACAGCAGCAGCGCGGGGCTGGGCTCGCGCCGGATTCCTCCGTGTCGCGCCGCTCACCTACATAGAGAGACGGGGGGAGGAGGGGGGGCGAGATTGATGCGCGGAGGACAGGAGCAGCGCCGGAGAGGGGAAGGGCCGGGGCAGAGGCAGACAGAGGGGAATGGCTGAGCAGCGCGCCGTCACTGGAGACAGACGGGTTCCAGCCGCCAAGACCGCAATTCGACCTTCGTCTTTCTTAATGCTGAGACTTGAAAACGCGCGCACGCCTGACCCTGTCCCCTCCCCCACTCCCGCTCCCGCTCCCGTCTCGGGAAGAGCCCTGCGCGCGTCCGCACGCCTGTAGGACCCGCCGTGCGCCCGGACCTCAGTAACATGGCGCCCAGGAACCCCGCCAAGGTAAGCCGCTCGCGCCCTCCGAACGCCGACCGAGGTCGCGAACGCGGCCGACTCGCGAGCCAACGGTCAGCGCTCAGGGGCGCACACGCGCCACCCCGCGTGCGTTGCGAGGGGAAAGCGAGCGCGGGCCGCCGCGGGTGACATTGGCGAATGACAAGCGGGCCCCGGGGCGGGTGTGCGGGACAGGGAGACCCGTCCGGAGGGGTGTGGTGGGGGGGGTCGGGGTGTGAGCGTGTTAGTGCACGAGGCTCCGGGCCCGCGAGGCGCCTGGGGAGAGGAGAGAGGGAGGTGGTGAAGGTGGTGACGTCATTGATTTGACTGCAGTTCTGTGGTTGATCTACGTAGATACAGATCTGATATTTCATTGCATATGTGTGTGCAAGTCTTCACATGACCCAAATAAAAGAGGGTAATCATTCTGAACTGTGCGACCCTGGCGTTGCTTCAGTACAGCTGATAGTAAAACCTGGAGTGGGTCAGGCTGCTGTGCACTGGGAGTCTGACTGACAGCACTGTAAAACCTGGAGTGGATCAGACTGCTGTGCACTGGGAGTCTGACTGACAGCACTGTAAAACCTGGAGTGGATCAGGCTGCTGTGCACTGGGAGTCTGACAGCACTGTAAAACCTCTCGGTAGAAGCGGAACATGAGCAGGTTCAGCAGGATCAACAGTAGAGAAGCTCCCTGCTGTCTGAGCTGGGCTGAGGGAGACAGAGCTGACTGCATCACCATGATTTACCCCCAGCCCACCCC